TTTTATAACTTAAGTTTCACTGTTTTCGTATAATAAATAATAGTTACAATAAAGCTCGTACATTTGCTACATATCTAAAAATACCTATACCACAATACCCGAAGTTCCGTTGCATATGCGGTTTGTTTATTTGTGTAACAAATAAAACGAATACAAGTTTCTTTTAAAGTTTTAAATAAAACATCTTTTTTTTAATTAATGAAACTTGTTTTTTATACCCTAGCGCACTTGTGCACAAGGGTATATTAATTTTGTTCACATAACGGTTGTTTGTAACAGCCAAAACGAATCGAGATAGATATAGACAAATGTATACATAAATGCTCAGAACGAATAGAGAAATCGATTAAGCCATGTCTGTCTGTCCGTCCGTCTGCCCGTCTGTCCGTCCGTCCGTGTAAACGATAAACTCGAGCAAATATTGAGATATCTCAACGTTCCGTTAATCCAAGGTAGATTGGTATTGAAAATGGGCGAAATCGGACTGTAACCTCACCCACTTCCCATAAAACGGTAATTTCCAGAAATACGAAAACTGCGATATTTTAGTAACTACTGAAGATAATTCACTCAAAATTGATATTTACAATAATTTTCAGACGAAAAATAAGAATATTATAAATTTTTGGAAAATGGGCGTAGCCACGCCCACTTATGGTTACATGTGTATATCTTGGTAACTGCTGCACCAATTTCTTCCAAACTTGGCACAGTTGTTGGCCTTTATACAGCATACTAAATGGCCGAAAATTTTAAAAATCGGCCAATAACCACGCCCACGTCCCATATAACGGTAATTTTCGGAAATACGAAAACTGCAATATTTTAGTAACTACTGAAGATTATTCACTCAAAATTGATATTTACAACAATTTTTAGACGAAAAATAGGAATATTGTAAATTTACATGTGTATATCTCGGTAACCGTTTTACCAATTTGTACCAAACTCGGTATTTTTATTGTGCTTGCCACATAAAAGCAAAGAGTTGAAAATTATTGAAATCGGACTAAAATTACGGCCGCTTTTCATATAAGGGTAAATTTGAGAAATGCTTGAAACTTCAATATTTCGAAATTTAAGGAAGCTAATTTACTTAAAATTGATACACCTCGGTTTACCATGTAGCGGTAGCTTTCGGAGAGGTGAAAATCATATATTTAATATTTGCGCCGGGTATTTATTGTTCCACTCCGCCCGAACTTAGACTTTCTTACTTGTTTAAATCTTGAGCCTTTCGTAAATATGAACAATCTCGCAAAAATTAACAGGCTTGGTTTTAATTAGTTCATATTATCGCGAGCTCACTGTATATGAAATTTCAGCGAGTTTGTAGTACGGGAACTACTTTTGACCGCAGCTTATATAGGGAGGTCCCATTGTGCGTCGGCGATATCACCTTTGCCAGGCCTCTGCAACGTATAAGTTAATAAGCAAAATTATACACTAGTGTATGGGGACGATGCAATGATGAGCTGTATGAGCTAGGGCTGGGACTATCCGCATATTCGAATATCCGGATATCCATGCGGATTATCCGTTGACACGAATAAAATCAGGATAGTATGAATATCCTGTTAATATTCGTTTGTGCAATTATTCGGATAGCCGGATTTACGCAGATCCGGTTAATATTCCTATTTTCGGATATCCAAAAAAGGTCAAAAACGATACTTTAATTTCCCAATCCCAGGCGCTCATATGCAGTAGGAAGTTTTCTATACGCATAAAAGTATAAACAGAATCAAATCGATCAGAGAAATTCGTCGAAAGAAAGTTCGCTGCCAAAATTTAAACGCACTGCAGTATATGAGATTGCTCACAATCAAAGCGACGACGAAGTTCGTCTGACGAAATTCGGCAAGAATAGATTTATTTTTAATTTTGCCGCTGCCGCCGGTAACAAAATCAGCTCTCAGTGGAAAAGTAGCTTTGTTTCCCCATTTTTGGTGATTCATCTCTTCGATTTTGCATTTTTATATTTTTTGTTTGTCATTTATTTGATGCGAATTTCTGTTCTGTTTTACTAAGCATTTCTGTTCTGTTTTCTTGCGGCGAATATCACCCGGCGGCATCGCTCCGACCGACGAAGATCCCATAGCGATTTGGTTATGTTTATATTTTAAATTTGTTTGTTGAACTTTTTTTCGTTTGAAGAAGACTTTGAAATTCCAAAGTGGAATATTGGAAATTTAAAAATTTATACAAACAATTTTGTACGTAGAAATAGAAAACTTCTTACTACACATTTATGAGCACTTGGTGTTGGGAAATGAAAATATCGTTTTGATAACGATAAATTCAGAGTAACCGGATTTTTCATTTAGGAATCCGGATATTCGAATATCCAGATTTTTCGTTATCAAAACGATACACGCTGGGGGTAGCAGAGGAAGAGGGAAGCCCCCACTGCGATGGAAAACCAATTAGAGTCAGTTGGCACAGAAGTGAAGCAACTAGCGTGCTTTGTTGGACTCGGCCAAAATCGCTTAGGCGGTTATAACGCCAAATAAGAAGAAGAAGTATCAGGATGGTTTCGGATGCAGATGTACATGCATGTGGGGAAAGTTTTATCTTTAATCACCGTGGAGTGGACACCCATTATTGGGCATCTGGTTCAAGCACACCAAGTATCCTCTAGGTAGCAACCGAGCACCCTTCCGGACACAAGCTAATGCGAGAAGGCAAACCCCCAACAATCGGTAGTACGCTTTCTTATGTCCATTTTTTTTCTTATATAACCACACCTCTCTTATATACAAAAATACAGCATGTAGAATTTTCTATATCTTGTAATCTTTATTTCCGTATTTTTTATTTATAAGTTAATTAATTGTTATTTTTAAATAATTGTTTCATAGAACAATTGAAAAATGTAATTGCAATTAAATTAATTGCAGTGTGCAATTACAAATTTAATTGCAATTTAAATTTTAATTGCAAATAATTTAATTGCAATGCACAACTAAAAGTTTAATTGCAATTAATTTAATTGTAATGTGCAACTTTTCAATCAAATAACGAGATGATTAAAAAAATTGCTTGAATTATGCCCAACACATAGCCTTCTAAATATCAATGTAGGTAGGTATTTGTTAAGGATTTGGCCATTAACTAGAGGAAGCATATAGATTTACACCTCTACGATAAGACCCATTATCGGCTACGCATCTGTGGTGTGGTGGAGAAGGCTCTTACTTCGGCATTAGCGAAAAAGATGTGCTTACCAAATTTCAAACGGCAATCGCCGTGTGCTGAATGGGATGTTTCCCTACAACACCTGTGTCTACTCTTGATGCACAGCCTAACGTACCGTCGCTAAGTGTCTTTTCCGGGGGGATTCTCTCAAAGCCACTTGTAGAGACGGAAATTGCTGGAGCCAGAGATCTAGACGTTAGTGTATTCTTAATGTCAGAGGATAGTACATAAAATCTTTTCAGCACACGCAAAGATCCTCCTATTTCCTTGTAATTACAATGTAAGAAGGAGCTATAAGCAACAGCGTGTACGCAAATTTGGGCACCTATAAAAGATTACGTACTTCTCTTTTTTACTTTGAAAATAGTTGTACATTTTCGATGGGCACCTGAATACATATTTGAAACAATAAACTACTTAGTTTTATTATTAATACACTTCACCGTGTTTCCTTTTTTCTTTTATTTGACTTACACCTCGGCGCTAACGTGCAACTGATTCTTGCCACAAATCCGCTAGATGTTCACGAGATGTATACCAAATTAGGTTGAGATCGGTCAAGTAGGTTTTGAGATACACATATACGATATAATTTGGCGGTGCCACCCCCATTTTCCTAAAATTTCCTGAAAAACCACTTCTTTGCTAAAGACCGATTGTATATATCAATTTTGAATAAATATTAATGAATTCTTTAGCCACACTGCTCAAAAAATCTGAAAGTCCGGCACATAAACAATATAAATTCAAGGCCGTATTTATGAAAAGTCGCCTAAATTCGACAATTATTTTGCTGGTGCAATAAATGGGCTATCGGTTTATTTAAAAATATATTTAATTTTAGATAGTACTACATATTTTTAAATTGTGGAAACTATCGATGGTCAAAATTTAAAAAATTTAGAGAAATATGGGTTTTTTATCTTACGCGCTAAAAAGTCCCAACAAGCCAAGTCTGACAAAAGATTTTTATATACCATTTTAAAGGCCTATATATCCTCTTCTCAGATCACATTCGGTCTTTGAAATCGAATCAAAACTAGTCATTCAAAAACACATAAATCCACAAAATCTTATTTTCGGACCTAAATCGACAGGTCGCGACCTCTAAATGACCTTGGAAAAATAGATAAAAATGGGAAATAATGCTTCTCATAAAAACGAATACAAGAGGGGGTAGGGTCTTGAAATCTCAAAAAAAAAAAACATTTTCGATGGGTACCTAGGGTATGTATATATGTATAAAAAATGTGCAATTATTTTTAGTATGTATTACCTTAAATTTCGAAGGCGATGAAGCGTGGTGGCTCTAGGACGTCAGATTATTTGGATACTCGCAAGATAAGTAAAATTCGTTCTTCTTTCTGCTAATTAGTTTAGCCCACGAAAACTGTTTATCCCGCAAAGGAAATTTTAACATACATATCGTTTTTAAAACGCCGTTTTGTAGCTAACTATTGTGTATTAAAAAGTATTAGGTTGGGTCTTAAATTGAACTGTTTAGGATGCTGGCCTAAACACACTTGACGACCGAAAAATACAAATATGTATGTCAAAGGCCTTTAAAAGCGAAACCAAGTTTCAAGTACCGCTCAAAGATTTCTATCACTATGAAAATGAAGAATAAAAAATTTTTTTTGAAATTTCAGAAGCAGTGGTGAAGGATTTGGGACAATCTGAACTGACCTGAATAATTTCAAATCATGCAATGTTAGAAATTTGGCGATCTTGCTCCACGCTAGAAAATGCCAAAATTTCTCCTAGCGAACTATACATTATTTTTTTAAACCTAATGTAGTTACCTGTTTCGTGAAAGGCTTAAATTTGCAGCCAAAATATATAGGCGTCTGTGGCGAATAAGGATATAACATGTATCGCATATTTTCTATGACAGCATACCTAAAATATAAGAGGCAAGATTTTAATTAACATAAATAAACATTTTCAAAAATATCCTCTTTACTTACGTATCATCGTCCGCTTTATAGAACCAATCTGCCTCGTCCAAGTGATGGGCATGTATGTATTTGAAAGCCTCCTTCGTCTTCCCCCATAAATTGTTGCGACCCTCACCTACCGGTAACGCCACCGAGCCCAGCTCTTCATCTTTCTCAGTACTCATAAACAAAAGCTTATTACAACGCCGTCCCCACGTTCGCTTAACGTGGCGTGCCTTGGACTTGTGATTCTTGGGATTTGTCATAATCCAACACAGTACTCGAACTTCGTTAGTTAATTTTGTGGCTAAACTATTATTTTCGAATGCATGCTGATGTGTGCCAACATCCGCTTCCGGTCCCTCCTCGCCGAGCATATCATGACTGTTGTGTGGGTCATTTATGTCGCCATGTTTATGTCCCGCATATGGGGAGTATTCGGGATGGGAAGGCGTTGACATTATGAACATTTCCGCTAGACAGAATCCGACAACCAGTCCCACTATGAGCGAAAGCAAGGAGCGTCGATTCGATCGAGTTCCTGTCGGAATGAGAGGCGTGTGATTTGTCGCCATTGAAACTTAGTTAAACAAAAAGCAAAAATATGTGGAGTATTCTTAATAGGTGATTTTCTTATTTAAGAATATAAATATAATGAGTAGACGCGAGAACTAATTGAATATGTTGTTGAACGTGACATTTTCTGTCGAATGCCAAGTTTACAGTAAAAATAGTTTTTAAAGTTCTTCAGTATGCTCTACCAACCTTGCAGAATATATGTGCATACATACATATGTATGTACATTAGGGTCGTCCAAAAATGCATGTGAAAAAGTAAAGTCGGAATTTTTATGCTCTCACCCCTAGGATTGTCCTATACCTAAAAAAATATACTCTTATTTTTTTTTTTTGAAATCAAAAAATACTTAAAGTCGGAATTTTTATGCTCTCACCCCTAGGATTGTCCTATACCTAAAAAAATATACTCTTATTTTTTTTTTTTGAAATCAAAAAATACTTAGCGGTCGCTTAAAGTGCCCAAAATTTTCCACGTATTTTATATGAGCAAAAAAAAAATCGTAGACATGGTATAGAATCTTAAAAATCAATATTTTGCTACCAGAAAACTCTGTTTATCAGGAGGAGATTCCCAATAATAATACCCAATTGTTTATTTAACCATTTTTTTGTCGCAACTATAATTTATAGGTCCGTCAAAAACCCACAAAAACCCCGAAAAATGCAATGGGACGACCAATAAAAAATCGTTAGTATTAAAAAATGGGTAAATAGGCAATTCCGTATTATTATTGAAAGTATCCTGAAGACAACCAGAGTTTTCCGATTCTGCGAAAAATTTTATTTTTCCCATATAAAAATACATGGAACACTTTAAGCGCTTTGAGCGACCTCGAAATACTTTTTCATTTCTATATAAAAAAATGAGGGTATACTTTTTTCAATATAGAACAATCCTAGGGGGTGAGAGCATTAAAATTCCGGCTTTATTGTTTTTTGGACCGCCCTAATGTACCATAGTAAGTGGAACAATAAAGTATGGGTACCAAATATTTACTATGCATAGCTCACACTTGAATAAACAAAATGTTCTTTATGTATTTAATTCATTCGACTTATGTCGTCAATGTTGCGCTTGGAACGGAAAAGATTACAATCGTTTATACTACATATTAGAATGAGGCCCGTTGTACGGGGTTGGCTGGGGGGTCATTACTATCCATCTTCATACTTATTTCTAAATGGTATTTTTATGTTACCAAACGATAACTCCTTTAATATTTTGTCAAATTTCTCATTTTGAAGGGGGGAAGCTCACGTACATGCGAAAAATAGTCACGTTGTTAAAATTTAGCTATTAATTAAAAAACGGGGGTTTTAAAAATCTCAAAGAACTGTATCTGGTCAATAAAGCGCCATATCTTCCATAATACTTCATCAAATTGGATGATAGAAACACCATTTTGAGGGAAAGAGGTGTTAAATGAAAGGCTTTGGGCCTTAGATTTGCAATAAGGTTTTACTTTTTCGAGAAGAGCTGCCACCTATTAAACAATTAGACTCAAATTATTTAGTAATATATGCCATTCATTCGAGTTTAAAAAGTGAGGTATTAAATTAAAGGGTTTGGGCTGTAGATTTTCAACAAGATTTTGCTTTTTCGAAGAGACGTTCTACTTTAAAAAAATTTAATTAGTCTTTTTTTAAGTTAAACCAATTATTACCCAAGTAATTTTAAGCAAAAAAAAACCGACTTAAAAAATATATATATATATACTAGCTTATACCCGCGGGTTTCACCCCACGTTTTTATACAGATATGAAAAATAATTTAATGATGCTATATTTTATTTCTGTGCCCATTTTGTTATAGCTCGTTATTTTTTAAGCGAGTTAAGGTATTTAGGCCGTTTAAAACTAGAAATTATAAAATCTCGTCTGCGCGCTAGGCATACGAAAGCTATCAATCCCTCTAAGCTTACCTTAAAATGGTTCCAGGGATATGACGCGTGAACGTGTAACCTTCTTGGAGGTGCCACGGCGGGTTCTAATATTTCCAACTCAAATTTAGTAACCTGGCCTTGATAAAATACCACTCCTCATTACTGTAGCAAATGCCTCAAGAGGTATGTATGCATCATGATAGCTTTACATTATAATTCCGAACCAGGCTCTCCCTTTTCCATTAAATGAAATTTTTCTGTCAGTACGGCACTCATAAAATAAATCTCGATAACAAATTTAAAATACTTCCAGAGATTTTCTATCCTCCCAGAGATATGTATTAAGAAATTTTTAGTATGTATGGGAGGCGACATGCCTCCTTTTTTATTAGTTCACATTTTTTCCATGAGCAATTGCTACATTTTGTATACACAACTCCATACCAAGTTCCAGTATTCTTCCACAAACACTTCCAGGGATATGTGGCAAGAAAAAGTCAATTTGTACAGGANTACATACATACATTCATATGTATTTCCATACCAAGCTTGAGTACTTTACCCTAAACATTTGAAGAGATATGCAATATGAAACTTTCAGTCAGTATGGGAGGTGCTACGCCTCTTTTCCAAAAACGTCCATTTTTCTCCGTGAATATGAACATGATTTCACACAGTGTTGGCAAACTGTTAATCTGATTAACGATTAAAAATTAACGATTAAAATGTTAATCGCGTTTGACGATTAAAATTAATTAGTCGTAATCAACTGTACGATTAATGATTAAATTTTTTTGATCGCTAATCGCTGGCTGCGACTACGATTAATTAGTTTTAATCATTAATCGGTAATCCAATGAACGCAATATCTGATTAAGTTGTCTAGTTTGTCCGAATTTTGAAACCAAACACCAGTTATATTAATTGTTTTGTGTCTTACGCTTATAATATAAACAAATTATCTATAATTATTGTTATTAGCAATACATACACAAGAAACTTTTACAAACCTAGTTTGTAAAACGTTTGTTGGTATATATCTTAATGAAAATGCACACCAAATTGCTTAGATTGATGAGGAAACCCGACTTAGCCATACCGGATTAACTTGCTTTGTGTGCACAGGGAAATTCCAGCATACCTTAATTAATCACCAAACCTACTTGATCAAATTAAGAGTTAATGATTAAAAATTAATTTTTTAATCGCGGTTACGATTAACTGTTTAGTCAGATTAAAATTAATCATGATTAACTGTAATCAGATTGAATTTAATCGAGTGAACTAACTAATTAAAACATCAATATATTAATGCCAACATTGATTTCACATACATATCTCTATACCAAGTTCCAGTTCTCTCCCACAAATACTTTCAGAGATATATTTATGTAATATGAAAATTCCAATTTGTATGGGAGGGTCCTTGAGTTATCGGAATTACTTTCAGTCAAAGACCATCCTTGCGAAATCCGTAGTAAGTGTACGAAATTTCGTTCTGATCGGGAAACCGGTTAAGGAAGTAACCTCTTNAAGTAGCCTATTTTTCAATCCAGGTCATAAACCATCTTTGAGCAAAATTTCATTTTCAAACAGGTGGCAATTCTTAAAAAAGTAGCCTATTTTCCAGTCTAGGTCATAAGCTATCTGTGTGCAAACTTTCATGCAAATTAGTTCAGTCATTTCCACGTATTAATTTAATTTTACTTATCAAATAGGTGGCAACTCCTAAATAATAGCCTATTTTCCAGCGTAGGTCATAAGCTATCTCTGTACCAAAATTCATGCAAATCTGTTCAGTCGTTTCCGCGTATTAATTAAATTAAACTTTTTAACAGGTGGCAACTCTTCCAAAAAATGCATCTTTTCCACTGTAGGTCATAAGCTATCTGCTTGCAAAATTTCATGCAAATCCGTACAGACGTTTTCGCGTATTGATTTAATTAAACTTTTTTAGCCGGAGGAAACCCTTAAACAAAGTATCCTATTTTCCAACCTAGCTCAGAAGCATTCTGTGTGAAAACTTCCATGCAAATCAGTTCACTCATTTCCGCGTATTAATTAAATTAAACATTTCTAACAAATGGCAACTCTTAAAAAAAATTAGCCTATTTTCCAAAATAGGCCATAAGCTATCCGTGTGCAACATTTCATGCAAATCCGTTAAGTCGTTTCCGCGTATTAATTAACTTAAACTTTTTTAACAGGTGGCAACTCTTAAGAAAAGTAGCCTATTTTCCAATCTAGGTCATAAGCTATCTGTGTGCAAACTTTCATGCGAATCCGTTCAGTCGTTCCCGCATATTAAATAAATTAAACTTTCTTAACAGGTGGCAACCCTTAAAAAATAGCCTATTAACCAATCTGGCCCATAAGCTATCTGCGTACAAAATTTCAAGCAAATCCGTTCAATCGTTTCCGCGTGATGATTTCCCAAACATCCAAACATACAAACTTTCACATTTATAATATTAGTAAGATGTATATATATACAGTGAACTCGCGATAATATTAACATCCTAACATGAAAATCCCAAAATATGAACACTTTTTCGCTACCATTGACTACTCTAAAATATGAACTTTAGGAAAAAGCTCCAAAATATGAACATTATTGTTTTGAAAAGTTTCTAACGAATTTCAAGCGCTTGGTAATTTGGGGGCCCCTAGTTATTTGCATTGAAAATGTCCATACGTGTCGCTCGGGAATGCTCACAGTGAATAACTTCATGTTCGGTTTTGTTATTGTTAAATATGCCTCAAACATGTGATCCAAAATTTTAAATTTTTTTAACTGCAAGAAATCAACTTTATTTGTTAAAAAACTTGCTTTAGAAAATAAATTTTTAATATTGTAAAGTAAGTTTTGTATTTCGTTTATCAAGTCTCAGCTAATAGAAAGTTTATTTTTTGTATGAGTTTGTTTGGAAATTTTGAAAACCGGTTATTGTGGTAGACAAGAGGTCTGTTAAGGTATTACAATACCCTCCATAGGTAATTTTTTATTACTTGAACACCAAAAATAGGGAAAATCCGAAAGTGGACCCAAGACAACATGATATAGGTGACACAACAGCTG